GAAGGCACCGCTGTCTGCCTTGGGCACCATTTATCCTCCGTTCATCGTCCCCGGGGCGGCCGCGTGACCCCGCGGGGAGGCCGAACCGGGCCTGGCTGAGGGTCGAGGGGCTGGGCCGGGGCCGGGTGCGAAGAGGCAGCGGGAGACTGCTCCAGCTGGGCCGCGGCTGCACTGGGCCGCGGGCTCGCGCGCACACTCGGCCTCAGCCTCAGGTTCCGACTGCTGGCTCGCGCGCGCACTCAGCCACAGCCTAGGGTTCCGACTTGGGCTCCGCGCAAGATGGCGGCCGTCCTGTTCGGCTCCGCGACGCCCTTCCTCCCGCCCTCGACGCCGGCGCCGGCCAATGAGCGCTGAGGGGGGGCGGGGCCTGCAAGTTCCCAGTGCTTGCGGACCCTTAGCCGAGCTGGGGCGGAGCCTGGGCAGTATTGCCCGAAAGGGGAGAGGCCGACGGTCCGGACGGTGAGGGGCGGGCCCGACGGGAGTACGGGCCTGAAGGAGTGAAGCGTGCCATTGGCTAAATAGAGAGGTGGGGCTCGGGGGTGGAACCTGAGCAGTAGGGCCTCCTAATAACCTAGGATCCTAGGGTGCAGGGAAGGGGTGGTGGAAGAAGGGCACGGGGACCAAGTTGACACACACAGAAAGGGGCGGGCCCCGTGGGGCCGAAAGGTGAGGAGCAGAGGAGACGGGAGTGGCCTTGGGGGCAGAGGGAGCCAAGAGGGACTGGAACACAAAGTCTCACATCTTGCACACCTGCAGGACGAGGTGCGGTCCGTGGCCCAAGAGTGGGCCCTAAAGTGGCCTTTTCCAGCCCTAGCCGATTTGGCTCAGTGGTTAGAGCGCTGGCCGGAGGACTGAAGGGTCCCGGGTTCTATTCTGGCGAAGGGCACATACCCCTGTTGCAGGCTTGATCCTGGCACTGGTTGGGATGTATGCGGGAGGCAACCAATTGATGTGTCTCTCACATCGATGTTTCTCTCTCCCCGAAAAGCAATGGGGGAAATATATATACCTAGATAGATATGTGGCCTTTTCCAGAAGGGCTGTGCCATGGTGGGGTGGCCCAACTGGTTGGAGCATCCTCCTGAGCACCAAAAAAGTTGCCCTTCAATTCCAGGTCAGGGTACATACCTGGTTGCAGGTTCCATTCCTGGTCAGGGCCCTTATGGGAGGCAATAGATCAATGTTTCTCTTTCTCTCTCTCTCAAGTCAATAAACATATCCTCGAGTGAGGATAAAAAAAATAAAAATAAATTTTTAAAAAAAGGGCTGCAAAGAAAGGATGAGGAGAACTGGAAACACCCAGACCATCTTTGAGGAGGTGGGAAAGGAGGATTGATGCTGTCCAGCACAGGCAGGTGTAGCTTCACTGGTACACGCAACTGAAAATGAGTAAATAGCCTAAAGGAGTGTCATACAAGGAGAGCTGACAGGAAGCCTCGATTCTAGAGAGACCTGTAGTGAAGTAGGCCTCTGGAGGAAGGACCCTGCCTACACAATGGGGAGGAGGAACACCTGCATAGAGTAAAGCCACTGGAGACAATGCTTTAAGTACTGACTTCATACCTGTTATCAGGAACAAGAAGACCATGGGAGGAGACACAGAGATAAGGTGTTCTCAGCAGGGAGAGGAGCAAGCTGTCCAAAGGAAGGACTACCAGCCATACACACAAGGCCTGGCACAGGGTATCAGGGCTGGAAAAGAGGGTGAAGCACTGGTCACACCAGTGTGGCTCAGTTGATTGTTGGCCCATATACGGAGAAGTCACTGTTTTGATTCTTGGTCAGGGTACATGCCCAGGTTGTGGGTTTGACCCCTGGTTGGGGTGCATGTGGGAGGTGACCAATCAATGCTTCTCTGCCACATCGGTGTTTTTCTCTCCCTCTCTAAAAAAGTCAATAAAAATATTAAAAAAAAAAAAAAAAAAAGGGCCCTGCCAAGTCGGTGGGGCCAGACGCCCTCGGTATCAGATCGAATTCCTCGCCCCACCCTGGATGTCGGACCCCCTGGCCGGCCTTCAGCAGGAATCCCCGACCCTGATGTCCCCTCTTTGTCATTTNTGATCCTGGTCCCAGTTGAGGCGTGTGCAGGAGGCAGCCAATTGATGTTTCTCTCACTTCGATGTTTCTCTTTCTCTCTCTCTCCCCCTTCCACTCTCTCTGAAAAGCAATGGAAAAAATATCCTCAGGTGAGGATTAAAAAAAAAAAAGAGGACCCAGCCGGGCGTGGCTCAGCAGTTGACCATCGACCTGGGATCCAGGCGATCGGGGTTCGATTCCCGGTCAGGGCACAAGCTCATGTTGTGGGCTCCAGCTGATCAATGACTCTCTCATCATTGATGTTTCTATCTCCCTCTCTCCCTCTCCCTTCCTTTCTCTGAAATCAATAAAAGATATATTTAAAAAAAAAAAAAAAAAAAAAGAGGGGGGG